CCCGGGGCAGAGCAAGATGGTTACAGGGATGAATGTTCATAATGATATACATAAATGTATATAGTTATCTCCTTAGTGTGAGTAATGGATTGTAAAGCAGAAGGCTCTCTCCCAGTGCTCCTCCTCATGTGGCTTACACTGCCTGCTGTAAATACGAAGCAGCTTCATCCATTACAGAAAAACTTCTTGAAAATTTGTCTACTAGTGAGGACAAATATTTGATTTATCTTACTGCTGCTTCAAATTCTGCACCTTCACTTCTAATATCAATGCCTTGCCCTTTGTCTCGCCCCTCGCCCCCGCGCCTCGCCCTCGCCCCAAGCCTCGCCCTCGCCCCTCGCCCCCGCGCCTCGCCCTCGGCCTCGCCCCAAGCCTCGCCCCAAGCCTCGCCCAAAGCCTCGCCCCAAGCCTCGCCCCAAGCCTCGGCCCAAGCCTCGGCCCAAGCCTCGGCCCAAGCCTCGGCCCAAGCCTCGGCCAAAGCCTCGCCCAAAGCCTCGCCCAACAGCCCGTCCTCCAAACAAAGATCCAAAACTGATTCCATGCACCCGCCAAACCCCCTGGTGTTTATGAATGAAAAGCGGTTTACACACGACTCACAACTGCTGACGTTCGAACATATCCGGAACAAGTGCTTCACTGACGAATTTTGTTCGAACCACAACGCTGTAAATGCTTCACCCACGTACTACAAATACAAATAATCGCCAACAGAACCTAAACACCTAACCTAACCTATGCCTATTTATACACAGGGGCCTCGTAGCCTGGTGGATAGCGCGCAGGACTCGTAATTCTGTGGCGCGGGTTCGATTCCCGCACGAGGCAGAAACAAATGGGCAAAGTTTCTTTCACCCTGAATGCCCCTGTTACCTAACAGTAAACAGGTACCTGGGAGTTAGTCAGCTGTCACGGGCTGCTTCCTGGGGTGTTTGTGTGTGTGTGGTGTGGGGGAAAAAAAAAGTAGTAGTTAGTAAACAGTTGATTGACAGTTGAGAGGCGGGCCGAAAGAGCAAAGCTCAACCCCCGCAAATACAACTAGGTGAAACACAATATGCTAATATATTATAATATTAATTTATACTTGAGAAAATTCCCGTTTTGAATGAACAGCATATTAAAATTTATGAATGCGTCTGTGGGGTTGACCGCTGGATGGAATGGACTTGAGTCGAGGACGGGTTGCGCCCAAAGCCTTGCCCAAAGTCTCGCATAACGTTTCCAGCTGGATTCGTGTTCTTAACTTGGGTGAGTTAACTGGAAGTCATCTTTAACGTGTCACGGGAGCCCGGCCTCACCAACAAAGGTAAATGGTCACACGACCCAGCCACCTAACCCGCTCTTTATGAATAGAAAACGCTTTCCAGCGCCCACAACTGATGACGTTTGAAAATTGCTCGAACAGCCCTTCGCTGACGACCTCCGTTCGAATCGCACGGCTGTAGCTGCCTCACCCTCGTACTTCAAATGCAAATAATTACCAACAGAACCTCAACACCTAACCGAACCAACGCCTAAATATGCACAATGTGTTTATATAAAATTATATTTATTTACATTTGTGAAAATTCATTTTGAATGAACAGTATGTTAAAATAGTTGAATGCGTCTGTGGGGTTGATCGCTGGATGGAATGGACTTGAGTCGAGGACGGGTTGGAAAACCATTAGGGTTTTCTCTGCCTTCTCTTTCCTCTTTATTAAAGAGACAGACAGACAGAAAGACAGGCAAACAGAGAGACATATATAGAGTGAAGCAGAAACATAAATAGATAGATAGATAGGGAAAGGATGGGGGGTCGGTGCCCTGAGGGGGGAGGGGGGGTCGTGCGTTCACTCAGAATATGAAGCTTATCCAAAGCACCGTCCGAACCTGCCGGAATGATCTCTTCACCGGTCCTGGCCTGCCGCACCTCACACCCCCTCCCCGCCCCACCCCACCCAGGCCTCGCCTCACCTCAACACCCCCGACGCAGGCCAACCTCAGCACCACGCGCCCGAACCTCACCCGCCACAGAAAACTACTTCAGTTTACCATATAACACCCGCCATGCAGACGTTCGCCAGCCGCCGACGCCGTGGACATCCTCCGCTGGGCGCTGGTGTCAGCGGCGGCGCCAGCGCCAACCAGCAGTTCGTCAGCTGGACGTCAGCTATCAGGTAAGAGTGTCAGCATGGGGGAGTTTGTTGGAGTCTGTTGAGGTGGTGGATAGGCTGAGCAGGTCAGGGGGGTTGGTTGAGAGGAGACAGGGCTCGTTATAGGAACACTGTCGTTGATTGATTGATGGTTGAGAGTTGTTGTTGTTATAGATTCAGCTACTCGGAACACGTTCCATGTAGCACGGGCTATGGTGAGCCCGTAGTGGACCTACCTGGCACAGGAGCGGTGCCCTGGTGGTTGAGAGGCGGGGAGGACGGGATTTGTAGCTCAACTGACCTACCAGCAAGCACAGTTAGGTGAGTACATGGGTACGCCAAGGTACCTTTGTGAGAGATGGGTTCACTGTTCACCCGGTTATTCTCACCCATTATTGCCTCATACTCATCCTGTGAGCGGTAGTTTATTGTGCACCCCATGCTCATTATGTGAGCGATAGTTTATTGTGCACCCTATACTCATTATGTGAGCGGTAGTTTATTGTGCACCCCATACTCATCCTGTGAGCCGTAGTACACAAGGATTACAAAGGAAACAGAAGAGCCTTACCAGACCCCAGTGTGAACCATTAATGAATAAACAACATATATACATAACTCACATTAAGCCATTCCTATATACCAGACGTGCTGGAAAAAAACCTCACTTGCTTAACATGTGTTATGTATAACAATGTAACATTGAACAGAATACATAGAGTTGTTGTTGTTAAAAGATTCGCTACTTGGAACATACAGTTCCAAGTAGCACGGGCTATGGTGAGCCCGTAGGTACTATACATCGAGGGGAAAAAAGGTTTGATAATTTTCGGTACTTAGTACTTCAGGGTAGGTGAAGTTGATATGTGTAGGGCTTAGTCTCTCTTTATGCAAGCGATGAGTCACAATAACGTGGCTGAAGTATGTTGACCAGACCACACACTAGAAATTGAAGGGACGACGACGTTTCGGTCCGTCCTGGACCATTCTCAAATCGATTGTCGACTTGATTGTCGACATTCACAATCGACTTGAGAATGGTCCAGGACGGACCGAAACGTCGTCGTCCATTCAATTTCTAGTGTGTGGTCTGGTCAACTTAGTCTCTCTTGTTGGTCCATTTATCTATTTATCTACCTACGTGTCCAGCTCTTCCTGTTAATTTGTCACTACGTACCAAATTCAACCTAGTAGGTAGGCTAAACAGAGACGTACACACCCAAGCCACCTACCTAACCCAGTGGCGAATATAAAACACGGATATTTGTGAGTACGTTACTTTTCAAAGTTGGTGGCATATTTGAAACGTTGTTGACCACAACGTCTAGAACGCGACCTACTAGAGTTGGGCGGAGTAAAAGTGTCTCACCTACTCTAGAATGTCGCTCAAGTTGCCGCTTGAGTGACGCTTCCTGACAGGTTGTTCCTGTCTACAACAGCACATTTATAAAAAATGTTTATGTGAATGATTAACCAATGTTTATATAAATGTATAACCAATGTTTATGAATGGCTAACCAATGTTTACATACACGGGGAGTGTGTCCTTTGATGTTTCCAAACATGCTCATTATATAACCCTTACATTCGCGTCCGTCACTCACTTATCTCATCCATGTCTCGCCAGTCATGTGGCTGTCATCCATTTGTTTATGACACTCATATCTACTTGAGCTTTTCTACGCATTTAAAAGCATTTTATTTTAGTTTAGTTCATTTGTTATATAACCCCCATTCTCGTGCCTTGGGTGGTGGTAGGCCCTGTACCCATCTCGTGGGCGGTAGTGGGCCCCCATACCCATCCCGTGGGCGGTAGTGGACCCCCATACCCATCCCGTGGACAGTAGTGGACCCCCTATACCCATCCCGTGGACGGTAGTGGACCCCCATACCCATCCCGTGGGTGGTAGTGGACCCCCATACCCATCCCGTGGGTGGTAGTGGACTCCCATACTCATCCCGTGGGTGGTAGTGGACCCCCATACCCATCCCGTGGGTGGTAGTGGACCCCCATACCCATCCCGTGGGTGGTAGTGGACCCCCATACCCATCCCGTGGGTGGTAGTAGGCCCCCATACCCATCCCGTGGGCGGTAGTGGACCCAATACCCTTCCCGT